TGGGAGAACACTGCCGGGCCTTCGTCTCCACATCCCAGCTGCCCATGGACTGAATGCTTGCTTGTTCTCTCAGGGGCTTTGACATTGGGAATCATTTTTGTGAGTGGGTTTATGATTATACCCACGAGGAGTGGCCTTTCTACAAAGCGAGACCCACAGACTACCCCACTAGAGCACAGCAGGTTGGTAGGCTGGAGGTTGGGAAAAGGAGAGCTTTTTTGTTTGTTTTTTGGTAAAAAGAAAGAATGGCTAGAAAAGGTCGTGTTCCACCGTCTCCCCAGTTCCTGACGCTTGTCCGTTGCTCTCAGCTCCATTTTATCCGCCATTATCTGGCAGAGGTTCAGAAAGGTCAGATCCTCTCTGAAGAGCAGAAGAAGCTGGAGGAGGATTTGCTGACAGAGGCCAATCGGTGAGGATGGAGGGTGAGGGAAGGATGGGAGGGAGGGAGGACTAGGAGGAGGAGAATTGCAGGTAAGGTGCCAGTGTAGATGAACGTTGACATCAGGAAAAAAGCAGAGTCACAGTGGGGTAAGGATTAGGACAGTGGGGGAGAAGCTGGGGCTTTGGAGATGGACTAGATTTGGGGGAAACCAGGCAATACTAGACGTACTCTTAATGGCACCTCATTTTCCTGTCGTTCCCCCCCCCCATTCCCTAGGTACGCTCTGGCCTCTCATTTTTTCTGGGGTCTGTGGTCCATCCTCCAGGCATCCATGTCCACCATAGAGTTTGGCTACTTGGTAATAACCTGTACATTGGGCGTGTTGGGTGGGGGCCGGGGAGGAGCGCTGGTCGTGTCCTCCAGGAAATCCAGGCAGCCCCTGGTAGCTGCGGGCAGAAGACAGCAGGTGTAGGCACTGCTTCCAAGCCTTCTCATCGCTCTGTGTTATGGGTTTCCTTCCTTAGGAGTACGCCCAGTCTCGGTTCCAGTTCTACTTCCAGCAGAAGGGGCAGCTGACCAGTTTCCACCCATCATCCTGACAGTCCAACCCCACCTCAGATTTCTCCTGAAGACTCCAGGGCAGGACCTTGGAGGGAGGGCCAAAGAGCAGGAGACCCCAGAGACTGGGCTGTGCCCCTTAAGTGAGACTGTTGTTAAAATAGCTGACCTCTATCCTGTTTGAGTAGTTGCCCAAGGTGGGCATCTGGAATCCCTGGGGCTGTGTACTTAAATAAACGAACTGCTTCGGAAACATACAAACTGAGGGATGCAGATTTAAGTGATTTCTGTTTAGTGCACTGTGCTTAAAAGTGGGGAGGGGTCTGTCGGTTCCACCCATTGAGATCTTCTGTTCCGTGATATTCCCTGGCTCCAGTCTAGAAGTAACAAATACTGACTTGGGGAAGAGGGCTGGAGAGGGGTGGGGCATCAGTGGGCCCTGGGTCGATTGTCAACCTAGAGTCCTGGAATTAGGGAACAGGCTGCACAGCTGACTCTTGGTGACCTTTTCCCTACATTCAGCTATTTTTAGCACTGGTGCAACCATGCTCACGTGAGACCCTCCACTCCCCTGTCCCAGACCTTCCAGCAACCTTCAGCAGGCTTGTGGGAACTCTGCCCACCCCTTCTAGGCGCCCCACCAAAAGGAGGGGGTTCTGGTTTCCGCCCATATCTGTTTTCTCCACCCCAATTTGGGAGTGGGTGTCAAGTTCCCAGTGAGGGCAGGGCGGGGCCAGGCTGGGGTGGCCAGGCCTGAAGGACGTGGGGACATGGGCCAGAGTGGCCAGACCCTACACCGACAGAAGCAAACCTGAGCTGTGAGTTGGGGACCAGCACAGGGAGGCCATCGGGACCCAGAGCCATTCCATCCCACAACTCTTCACCCTTACTGTCATCCGAGCTTTGCGAGCGAGGACTGTGCTGGGAGCACCCGAACCTAGTCTCTGCCGGGGCCCACTCCCTTCCCTGGGCGTCTTTCCTGGACCCCAAGCCGCCCTTCGCTGCCCTTGGGGCGCCTGGAGCCCGACTCCTGCAACATTGCAGATAGGCCTGTCCGGAACCCCACGAGGGTTCGGCGGCGGCGGCGGCGGTTAGCCAGGCTTGGGAGGGCCCAGCAGGGCGCGCAGCAGCGTTGGGGCACGGGCGGGTTTGGGAGGGGGGTGGTCGCATAGGGAACCGGGCAGAGGGTGGTAGGGGGAGCGAGGACCAGATGGGGCGGCGGAGGGGCGGAGCCTCAGCTAGAGGTGGCCGGGCGGGGGCGGGGCTGGACACACTAAGCACCTTCTGCCCCTACCTAACCTTAGGTGCTGACTGAGCCCCAGGATGGCGGAAGCACACCAGGCAGTAGCTTTCCAGTTCACTGTGACCCCGGATGGGGTCGACTTCCAGCTTAGTCGGGAGGCTGTGAGACACATCTATCTGTCTGGAATCAACTCCTGGAAGAAACGCCTTATTCGCATTAAGGTGTGGGAACAGGTGGTTCTCCCGGCCTCTTTTTCCCAGCAGGTGCTTAGGCAGAAGCCAGCTGTCAGCAGTTAGTCTCCCTGTCAGTGCCTGTCTCTGCCTTTGGCCAGCAGTTCTGCTGGTTATAGATAGGCTCCAGTCGTGCAGAAACCAGAAAGGTGATAAAGATGTGATGGGACATATAATGTAGACATGTATGGAGGAAGGACACAGTGAATGGATGAGGCAAAGACCAGGAGCCCTTTCTCGGGACTTCCCAGGTGCCTAATTACATTTTCCCACTCCACAAGGATGCTTGTTTCTTCCCCCACAGAATGGCATCCTTAGGGGTGTGTACCCTGGCAGCCCCACCAGCTGGCTGGTTGTTGTCATGGCAACAGTTGGTTCCAACTATTGCAAAGTGGATCTCTCCATGGGGCTGGTCCATTGCATCCAGAGATACCTCCCTGCCAGGTAAGGCACCTGGAAGACACATGTCTCAGAAAAAAAGGGCCAAGACAGTTCCCAAGGCCAGGATTCCTGTACTAGACAGATACAGAAAAGCAGTCATTGGTGGCCAAAGGGTCCCTCTCACAGGGCTACCATCTCTTAGTTCCAAGGCAGTTTGTCTATTTCATGCACTCAGACCTGAGTGCACCCAGCAAGGTCTTTTTCCATTCGGGTCTTCCCCAAGAGAGTTCATAGCCATCAACTGCAGTTAGAACTCCCCAAAGGATGGCATCAAAGGGCTATCCTGAAGCCTTCCTCCTTCTCCAATAGTTATGGCCCCTATTGGACACCACAGACCCAGGAACTTCTCAGCGTGGTCATCTTCTCCACTGGGGTCTGGGCAACAGGCATTTTCTTTTTCCGACAATCCCTGAAGCTGCTACTTTCCTACCACGGGTGGATGTTCGAGATGCACAGCAAGACCAGTTATGCCACCAAGATCTGGGCTGTGAGCAGAAACACTGGAGGGTGCAGGCATCTGGTTTGAGATCATGGGGAAATCTCACTTGGGGTTCTGAGCAAGAAGGGAGAGGCAGATTGAACGAGAGAGCCTGGTGCATGCGTTTTTCCTGAGGGAGCTGGGATGGTTCTGAAGGACTTGATCATTTTCTAGTTTGTGTCCACTCTTCCTGTTAGCTCTTACCCCGACACTGCACTCTGTACCTTTAGATCTGCGTTCGCCTCCTGTCCAGCCGACGGCCCATGCTCTATAGCTTCCAAACATCTCTGCCTAAGCTTCCTGTACCCAGTGTGCCAGCCACGATTCAGCGGGTAAGAGCCTGAGTGCCAATGAGCACAAAATCCCGGATTCAGAGGACTAGTCCAAACTTATAAGCACTGTTTTCTATAAATAGCTGGCTTGAGAAGAACAGGGGTCTGGTTGAGGAGAGGTTGTAAGAAGGTTAAGAGGGAGAGGTAGAGCCATCTTCATGATCACAATTTGACTGGACAGTACCTGGATTCTGTGCGGCCCTTATTGGATGAAGATGAATTTTACCGCATGGAGACACTGGCAAAAGAATTCCAGGACAAGACTGCCCCCAGGCTGCAGAAATACCTGGTACTCAAGTCATGGTGGGCAACCAACTATGTAAGTTTGCCCTCCCAGGCTTGTTCTTCTGCCCGTGTTCTCGATACCGCCTCCTCAGCTCTAACCTGCAGCCTGACTATCCACAGGTGAGTGACTGGTGGGAAGAGTACGTCTACCTCCGAGGCAGGAGCCCCCTCATGGTGAACAGCAACTATTATGCCATGGTAAGAACCAGAGCCTCCTAGGGCTCCTGTGTGCCCAGCTTCTGTCCCCAGCTCTGGAACAAGGACCTAGAGGACACCCCAGAGCCTTTGCGTCAGTTTCCATGGGTGAGTGGGGCTTATGGAGTGAGGCCTGAGGGAAAGAAAAAGGGAGGAGAGAAGATCCTGGAGGAGCAATCCAGAGCCAGCCTGTGGGTGGTGGGGATCCTGACGAGAGGGAGCATTCTGAGACTGCCCATGAACTTCTCAGGCCACTTGTGCCATACTCCATTGCTTCCTAGCGTTGCCTTGGCCTCCCTGGCCTCTCAGGCACAGGATCTCGGTTATCACCATTTTTGGAGAATTTCTTGAAACATGCTTTGCCTTTGTCCCTTTGTGGATCAGACCAGAGGGTGAATACCAGCCCCCTGTGGTACTCGGGAAGCCGCTGTCTGCCTCACTTCACGTGACTGGTGTCCACACCATACACCTGTGGACAGGTGGCTGATCTTCCTGCTGCCCAGTGCCTACTCTCTGCTGATGTCTAAAACATACCCTGCTAGCCTCCTGGAATTCCCGTCATCCGTGAACTGTCTTTCTAGCAACTTACAACCTGTCCAAATCAAAGAATGGTTTTTTGTTGTTTTATGGTAGAACCCCTTTGAAGCAAAATAAGTCAAGTATGAATGGGCAGAGAATAGTCCTGATCAAAGCTGGAGCCTGTCAGTTATACATTTCTGGAAGTTCACCCTGACATGATGTGGGATGGAACATAGGCAGGGTCTACAATACCTCAGGCCCCTGAAAAAGTTTCCTCAGGTTGGTGAGACTCAGGTGACACCCAGCCAGAGGTGCCCAGCCTACAGACTCTGCTCTGTCTGTAGGATTTTGTGCTTATCAGGAACACAAATGTGCAAGCAGCACGTCTGGGAAATGCCGTTCACGCCATGATCATGTATCGCCGCAAACTGGACCGTGAAGAGATCAAACCTGTGAGTTACATCGGGGTTAAGGGTGGGGTAAGGAGGAGTGGCTTGAATCTAAGCCATGCTGGGCCTTCCTTCCAGGTAATGGCACTGGGCATGGTACCCATGTGCTCCTACCAGATGGAGAGGATGTTCAACACTACACGCATTCCAGGCAAGGAAACAGGTACGGGGCTACAGCCAGGCATCCATCAAGAAGAAGTCCTACCCTCCCAGGCACCCATCAAGAGGAAGTCCTACCCTCCCAGGCACCCATCAAGAGGAAGTCCTAGCCATGACAGCTAGCTGCCCAACTACTATTTTTCTCTAAGCACTCCAGGGTCTCAGGATCAGGGTCTGAGTTTGTGAAAAGTAGTCAGTTCGTGACAGATTCTGGATGGTTGTTATGTACAGACATGGTGCTGATGCTGGGATGGTTGTTATGTACAGACATGGTGCTGATGATGCTGGGATGGTTGTTATGCACAGACATGGTGCTGATGCTGGGATGGTTGTTATGTACAGACATGGTGCTGATGATGCTGGGATGGTTGTTATGCATAGACATGGTGCTGATGCTGGGATGGTTATGTACAGACATGGTGCTGATGCTGGGATGGTTGCTATGTACTAACATGGTGCTGATGCTGGGATGGTTGCTATGTACTAACATGGTGCTGATGCTGGGATGGTTGCTATGTACAGACATGGTGCTGATGCTGGGACCCCAAGGAGTCCAGAACAGTGGCTGTCCTTCCAAGGCTTCTGAGTACCTAGGAAGGTAGTCATGAGTCAAGAGCAATGAAGGAACACTGAGCCTATCTCTCGTGGAGCCTGAAGAGAAGGCAGGAGGAACTCGCTCGGGGCACAGGGACTAGCTTAGCATGGAAATCTGCCCCTAGATGAAGGCAGGCCCAGGTCAGATATGAGGCAGAGCAGAGTCTGCAGGGACCATCTGTGTGTTGGGGGCGGGCCCTCTCTGGGCTCGAGAGGGGCAACTGCGTATTGTCTGAGGTCCTGCCTCAGCTGCTCACTAACTTCTGTCACAGATGTGCTACAGCATCTCTCAGAGAGCAGACATGTGGCCGTCTACCACAAAGGCCGCTTCTACAA